GATGCAGAATCTCATCCACCCCACCTTCAGCGGAATCACCACTTCGTCTTGGCGGCCATCTTCTGCCTCTTAGAGGCGCTAGCCTGAACCTTCGGGAGCTTCCGTTTCTCCTCCTTCCAACCCTGGACCTCCTCCCTAAATCGCATCAGTTCGTCCATCATGGACCAGTCAAGTTCCTTCCAGCTTATCAAGCAGCGGCGGTCCATGGAGAATCGGTCGAATTTCAAGTTCGTAAGGTCGTCGGCTTCCACGTTGGTCTCTCTTGGCCGCCAACGTAATCTGAAGATCAGGCCGCTCAAGTAGCACTTCAGACCCAATTGGATCTGGACATAGGCCAAAGGAAACTTATTGCTGGAGCCCTTCCTCGAGATGTGCTCCATCGCCAGGTTGTCCGTCCCGGCCTCCAGTTCCACTTGGCGAGGTCGCGCACCGGGTTTGAAGTACCCGAATACTTCTAATGCTACCAGCGTCCCCATCAGTTCGGCGACCGTGCTCCTGGAAGGCAAATGCTCCGTGTCAAACAGCCAGGGTGCATCGTCGGGAGAAAGTTCCAGTGCGAACCATCGAGCCTTCTTCGGGTCCGAATCTCCTTTCAGCTCCCAGCCACCCAATACCACACGGTTGCCTTCGCATTTGGCATCTGTACGGAAAGCCTGTTGGCCTCCTTTCAAGGGACTCCGACCTGAGGTCCGGTGGTGGCCTTCCTGAAGCATCTTTGAAATGAAAAGTAAAATCACAGAGACTGTCTGAGGCAACGTGGCCGCAGTCCCTGATGCAATCGCTCCTTTCCAAGCGTGCAAGGGTGCCATGAGGGGCTTGATCCATGTCAGCACCTGGCTGGCGTACACCAACCTGCCGACCAATTCCACAAAGTCCCGCTGGAGGACGATTCCCCCATTTTTCCTAGCCTCTTCGATCCATCGAACGATCCAACCCGTCCTTCTTTCAGAGAGGCCCACTTCAAACTTGCAGTAATCCATGTAGAAGCCCACGAACTCCAGGCAGACTCCTCCCCGGAACTTTGGCCACCGGAAAGGAGTTCCCAACATCAGCCAGGTCACCAACATATACCAAATGGTGTGGTACTTGCGCTCACCTGCAGCCATCATCTTCAAATCATCTGCAAACAGCAGTTGAAACGCATGAGCCTGTCCATTGAGGCGCATCACCAGTCGCCCCAGCAGGGAAGCAAGCCTCGCAAAGTGGTAAGCCGCACAGGCCACTCCGAAGGTCCCCACTTTGTTGAACCAGATGGGTCCATCTTCTTCGACCCGGCAGCCCAGCAACCCAACATCTTCTTCGCGATGTTTAAACCTTCGATGTGCCAGAGCGATGTCAGCAGCCACCGCGATCATTAATTGATGTCCTGCTGCCAAAGTTTCTTCCATCGCGGTCGCGCTAGCCTCGGGTCCAGGGAATTCCAAGCGATCTTGGATGACAATACCATTGTTGATCTGGACAAAGTGGGTGGCATCGAAAATGACCCGTACCCTCTCGTCATCTTTCGGAATGGCCCCCAAGGAAGCCACCCTCAAGCGGTCACCATACCTCCGGCGGGCCTCACTCTCCGTCAACGGGAACATAAACCCCATCTTCTCCTCCTCCTGGAACTGGACCTCTATCTGCTGAGCGTGCTCCTTGGCCGACCCATAGTTGCTGTTCTCAGCTTGGAACTCGGATTCATCATATCGCCGCTCCTTGATCTTCGGCCTGAAGACCAGGGGCACCCTCGGGAAGGTGTGGCCATAGCCAACCATCCTTCCATCACAGTAGTTGTCAGGACCTGAGTCCAAAATATCAGCATCCTCTTCCCCCATGAGCCTGGCAGTTTGGGCTATGGCTCGCAGGAAGAAAGGTTGCCCCTCGGGTACCCTCGCGGCTTCACTTGGGGCGGGCAAAAGTTTAAACCAGCGGGTCCTCAGTTCCTGCATCTGACTTTCGCTAAAGGGAGCCGCCTGCAGTTTCCCCAGTGCCAACGCGAAAAAGGTGCGCTGGGGGTCAGGGATGACTTCATGGGTAAAGTCCTGCACCAGCTTGGCTAGCTTGCGGATCAAAACTTCGCACTCACCGCTTTGAAAGTTTCTTCTGCACGGTGGCCATCTGCCCGGGGAGCATAAGCCACAGCCATCGTTGAAGCTAGAGGGTTGCCGCGCATGCCAACGACTCACCATTGGCATCCCGCGGTGCTCCTTGAGGGCTCCTACAAGTTTCCCGTGGAAGTCCTCTTCTCCCATTTCAACTTGCTCTACGTCTTGGGGCCTCTGAGCCTCCTTTTGTTGAACCTGAGGACGCATGGGTTGGCCTTGGGGCCTTTGTTGAACCTGAGGACGCATGGGTTGGCCTTGGGGCCTCTGAGCCTCCTTTTGTTGAACCTGAGGACGCATGGTTTGGCCTTTCCCCCCCCGTAAGCGCAGAAGGGCAGGCCATGCAATGCTGGCAATCCATTTGCACAGCTCTGGCGGATACGTGGCAGATGGTGCTGTTTTCCAATTGCCATCTTGATCTTTCCCTACCAGAGTCTTATGAGCATTTGCGCCATGAGGGCATTGTTTTGGAAGTGGTCCTAAATATCGACCTTGCGCATCAAGTTGATATAAACCATGATAACCTACTTCCAAAGGATCCAGTGTGGTCATAAAACGCGTGGGTTTGGAAGAAGGCGCAGAAAACTCGCACTGAAAAATGGCAAAAGTCCGAACACCCTTTTGACACAACAGCTCTGCCGCCTCAGGAAGATCCCAAATGCTGGCCGGTATTTGTCCAGCAGTGAGACCCAGCTGCTCTGGGTGCTCCAAGAAGAAATGACCCCCATGATCTCTGGTGAGGGCACAGCCGTGAAAAGACTTCTGCACCAGATCGTCTGCCAATTGGACCTTCTGCTTGTTGTCGTTGCTGAGCCAAGGATAGCCATGGGGAAAGTTGAAGTCCCGCAATGGCCTTGGCCCACCATATTGTCGATACTGGCACCTGACACGGCTGTGGGTGTTGCAAGGTGGTGCCACCAAAAATAGGTCGACCACGCCTGACTGCAATTGTTGTGAAACCCATCTCCAAACATCATCACGATGGAGATCATGTCCTTCGTTTCGAAGGATGTCCAGCTGCAAGCCCTTCAGACAAAAATTGTCGCGCTTGGCTAGTTCCACAAGATAGTTTCGAACGTCTGCTTTCCGTTCGACACCTGCAAAAAGATACAAAACATGCACAACTGGGGAGTGCTCGTCGGCAGGTATTGTCCTTGCTGTTGTAGGCATAACAGATCTGCCTCCCATCGGGAGTGGTGGAGTAAACGAAGCCAGCCCTTGAGTCGGCTCCCATGCGCCCTTTTCTGGACTTGCCCTTCCCCGATCCCTTGGGACCTGGGCGCTGTTTGTTGTTGCCTGCAGCCTCGCTTCCACGCCACTTCCCATAGTTGCCTCCTGCACCTGTGGGTGCTGTCGTCGCGTTGTTGCGCCGCGCCAGCTCCAGTGTAAGAGGTGTGACAAAGTATGTCTCTTTCAGCGTGGCGTCTGCCATAACTTCTGCCATAGTGGCCGTGAGTGGCCTCCCTTCCCGTGAGGTGCGCCGATAGGCCTCCTTTCGCAGCTTGTGCTCGTAGCTGATCATCAAGTCCCAGCTAGGACTGGCCGCCATGGTCTGTGCTGAACCGTCTCCCCTTGGAATCTGCAGTTGATATATCTTTTCGCCCAAGAGGAAGTCGGCATACTTCTGAAAGTCTTTGGTGCTCAGCCCATCAAACCAGCTCTTGTTGCGGAACCTGGCCGCGAGCATCAACATGGCATTGCACTCCACTTTGAGCTTGGACCTCAACTCTTCTGAGTTGACTGGCATCTTGGCCTTCTTCTTCTCTTTGATGATGCGCAGTCGTCCACTGGCATCTAAGCTGCTCTGGAGTTGTCCATGTAGGTCATCTTTGACACTGCCCACTTCATCCAGTGAGCTAGCCAGAAGATCTCCCCCTTCAATCTCTTCCAGCTTCACCGCTAAGTAGTCCGGTGATGGCTCCTCTCTCTCGTCCATGGGCCCCAGATTGCGCTCGACTGCTGCCCTCATCGCTTGCCTCTCTGTTTGAAGCAGCGGCTTTGGTAGCCCCATTGCCCTCGCTTCTGCTTTCAGCCCCCGTTCTTTCTCGGAGGTGTCTGCAGCCTGTTGCCAAGCGGCTACCACTGAAGCCAGTGCCGCTCTGGCACCGGCGTTTGCAGCCGGGTCAATGCCAAGGTCTCGCCCCAGCGCAGTTCTGGCTTCTGCTTTGGTGTCCGCCAAGGCCGCAAAGAGCGACACATTTCTATAGTTCTGCCCCAGATCATACTGACGGTCCAAGGTGACACCCATGGCCTCCCATATGTACGTCAAGTCGGCCGCCACATTCTGAGTGAGCCATGTTCTCTGCTCCTCTGGTGTAGGCGCCGCCATTTGACCGCCGAAAAGACGCAGTCAGGTCTGACAGAAACTGAATTTCATGAAATAAATTTTCAATCAGATCCTGTCATTTTGACTTGACTTGACTCCAAGTTAATTTGGATTCAAAAATAACTACCCTCAGGGGTTTGTCAACTTGAAGCCATGTACAGGCATTTTGACTTGACTTGACTCCAAGTTAATTTGGATTCAAAAATAATTACCCTCAGGGGTTTGTCAACTTGAAGCCATGTACAGGCAATATATTACCCTCACGGGTTTGTCAACTTGAAGCCATGTACAGGTGAGGTCCGAGAAACCTTGTTTTGTGCAAACCCTACGTTCCGACTTGTGGAACCTGCTGTTGCTCTTCTTTTGAGCCTGACTACGGGCAGATGGGGCTCCTTATGACTCATGCGGACTTCTTACGTCCAGGGCCTCTTACGCCCTCCCCCTGTTCTCTCTCACATCCTTCTTGTGAGTCCCGCCTCTTACGCGGGCAGCTTATCTTATTGACCGGTCACCTGCATCATGAACCACTTACATCATGACATCAAAACCTTACAAAAACCTTATCCAAGCTGAGCGCATTCTTTTGACACTCAGCCCTCTTCGTCGGTGCTGGTGGAGCTTCCCGACGTGCTGGAGTTCTCTTCCTCCTGCTCCTCCAACTCTGCTCGAAAGCAGATTCTGCACCATGCATCTACCCCCGTTTTGGGGATATGATCTACCTCTTCATAAGAGGCCACCGTCCAATACTGGACTCCACATGCACAGCTCTTCTTGTGCAACCTTCTGAATCCGGTCCTCCTGGACTTCGAGACCCAGTATTTCATGTCAACGCTGGTGCTTTTGGACCCAGCAGCTTTCTCCTTCTCTTCCAACGGGACAGGTTGCCCCCAGCCAGCCACCATCTCTTCCAGTTCATCATCCTCGATCAGCATCTGGAGTGTGGGGTACAGAGTCTTCAGGCCATAACGGTAGTCCGGCATCCGAAGCATGATGTGGAACCACCTGCCATCTCTCTGAACCACTCCGCGTTCCTGCCCATAGTTCTTCAACTCTTCGATGAGCTCGCCTTCTGTGAGACCAACATGGCCTTCACAGATGGCCTTGTTGACATCCCGCTGGATCGAGGTGACTATCTGTTTGGCACTCAGGACATAGGCATTGGACTCCTGGGCACCCGCTTGCCATCGGCCCAGATAGTCTCGCTGCTCCTTCGGGATGCCTATATTTGCTGCATGTGTAGGCAACCAGTGTCGACCACTGTGCCCACTCCAGAAGTTTGTCAGCTCACCGGAGGTCAGCGTCTCGCCACTCTCCATCCAGGATTTGACATTCCTGCCTCCACGCAACGGCTTCTTCACGATGGAGAGCACGTACCTCATGTAGCTGTTCAAGTTCTGAAGACTGAGAAATTTTCTGGCACCTCCAGACCAGTCTTTGTTAGGACTCGGCAGGAAGTAGTCCCTGTCATTCCTGAAGGCATCGGAGTGGTAGAGCTCCCATCCTCGTCCAAGCCAATCTTCCCCTGAAAGTGAGGCATCACGTGCCACGTAGGCAGGCACTTCCACAGCTCTCCTGCCTGGCCCCGTCGTCTTCGTCTGCCTCAGTATCATCCTCACACAGGTGCCACTCATATGCATCCGTGTAGGATCAATCCATTGGACGTCGTCTGCACGAAGCACCATCCAACACATCAGCAACATAACCCAGCCGATCAGCCTGGCATAGTTGCAGTAGTCTGGGCAGCAGACCAAAATCTCCAACCCGATGATCGAGCTGATCAAGTAGGGACGTGCTGGCCTCCTCGGGGCCGCACCTGTCTGTAACTGCATCTGCATATTCTTAATGGTGTCCAGGAGGGTCCTGTCTCTGGAGAGCTTGGCCAGATCAGTCACTCTTCCCACTGTTTCCAGCAAGGCCAGAGCGCCCATCAAGCCCTGTGGAGCTGCTGGACCGCAGCCATCTTCAATGCGACCTTCCAGATAATCCACCACGTCACCCAACTTCGTGGGCCAGTGCCTTGCCCGGTTCAATAGAAGCCATGCATAGAACCTCTTCCAAGTTGTGGCCCGATTCCTCAAGGTCTTGGCTCTGCGACTGCCAAAGATCCGGCACCAGGCCCTCTGCTGATCATCCGTCTCCTGGATCATGGTGACCACCGGAAGTTCAGCCACGACAATATATTGTGACAAAGCCATGGCCCAACGGACCCTTTCCTCCTCTGCCACCTGGAGGGGGTTTCCAACCTCCAAAGTGAGGCTTTGACTCAGCCGAGTCTTGCGGATCTGCCTCAACGGCATCGCTTCCCGCTTGATCAGATTCGAGAAGGTCTCCTGAATCTCTTCAGCAGCAACTGTTGGCTGCTCCAACCTGGGCCTGACCAGCCGCCGACACATGAGACGCCTTTCACGTAGCATGTCCCGGTTGGTGTGTTCTCGGAACTGCCTCAACTCCGTGGCGATCAGCAACTGCTCCTCACCCAGTCGGGCAGCCACGTAGTCTGCCAGAGAATCAGAAGCTAATCCCCCGGGCTGCTCGAGTGCCTCATGTAGCACCTGCAAGTTGGTGAAGTCAATCGCCAAGACTTCACTCACTTCCCTTCTCAGCCCTGGGAACATCGCTCCGGCAACGCTGTACTACGCCCCCCTCCTAAAATTTTCTTGAGGAGGACAGCTACCCAATCATCAATGAGATCCCATCTTTCAGGAATGTTCTCTGAATCCCCCATCTTAAGGGGGCGGTATAAATAAGAAATGAGGAACTCCAGAATCGATTCTCCCTTCTTACGGGAGATCAGTGCAATTCCCCCATCTTACAGGGGCGGCATAAATCAAATACGTAAGAGAATCCCCCATCTTACGGGGGCGGCATACGTTGTATACTGAGCGGGGTCCCCCTCCCTTACAGGGGAAGCACGCTTGCATTTCTACGCATGCTAGAAGATATCACCCTTCATACAGGTGAATATCTAAACCTTTAGAAGGCATGCATCAGAGGAACCCTGATTCATCAGAGGTAGTGGAAGAAGATCCATCTTATGGATCGAAGCCCAACCCCCCCGCCCTGCTTTCCCTCTTACGTAAAAGCTCGTTGGGCATTCGCCCAACTACGCATGGCTTTCGCCAGGTCGTTACACACGTTCAACCGCAGCAAAAAAGATGAATTGTAAATTAGCATACAAGGCCGTCAGTTCGTCGATAGCCTCAATTTTTTTTTCCGTCCAACGCCTTCATGGCTTCCGCCAGGTCGTTACACACATTCAATCGCGGCAAACAGTTGAATTGTAGTTTACATGCAGGGCTGTCACCTTGTTGAAAGCCACAAAAGTGCCGGTTGTGGACCAGTACGCAGTCCAGAAACAGTCCCAGCAAGAGAACAGGAGAACAAGAAAACAAACCAAAAACAACACAGCAAAAACAGGAAAAACAACCAAAACCAAAACCAAACAAAAACGACAGAGAGAAGTGGGATCGCAACCAGCAATGGGAATTACATGCATGATGACATCTTATGTGTCATTCAGTGAATGGCCCAGAACAAGAAACAAAACAGAACAAACACAAAACACACCAAAGGGCCACATTGGTGGGTGAGAGAAGCAACAAAGCTCCATGCGGAAACCAGGGATCCCCCCAGCCAGGATCCCCGAGATCACAAAGTGCAACCGTAAGGCATGACGTTACACCCAGGCACTTCGAAGCAAACACCGACAACGCCGGGTCGCAACGAGAGTGGTGAGAATCAAAAACAAGGTGAAACGCGAAGGTGAAACAGATCTAAGGTGAAAAAGACAGCAAGAGCTACGGCACTCAGGGCACACTCAGAGTCCGCTCAGTAGTTCTTTTCCTAGCATCAGCATCAGGGGAGTTGCGGTTGCGGTAAGTTTCAGTGCACTAGTGCTCTTGCAAGTAGTCTTCATGGTATGGGAGATTGTGCTCGTGATCAGTGCGTGGTGATATCTGTGCATTAAGCTCTTCCGATGACGTGCTAGCCCCTTCAGCTGTATGTGGCAGTAGCAGTATGGCTTTCTGCGCTTGGCTTACTTCGTAGCTGGCAGAGATTGTACAACTATCTGATATACAGCTAATTTGGCGGAGTTGGCGTATGGCAGCTTCGAGGTCAGTGACCCTCTGGGATGGGATATTTTGGATACCTTGAAGCTTCTGACATGCCTTGTCGAGCAGTTTGGTGGCAGCATCTACTTCACTGGCAGTGATCTGACACAGGGTCTGTGAAAAACGTAAACCCAAGTACACCTCTCGTGTACCCAAATCAACGCTTTCATTATTTCACTACGCCAGACGCAAACACCTACTGTGGTTGCGGCTCCGCAGTTACTTACTTCTCTGCAATGTCAAAATAAAGGAACTTGTTCCACCCTGACTCCTAAGTGCACGTCAGACTCCTTCTTTTCTCTCCAGACGCCACACACAACGGAACAGGTCAACAGGAACCAGGGCAGGCACACGGCCACAGCCCACAAACAAAGGAAAGAAGTTCCAGTGTGGCTACTGTTTCAAGTGCCCTAGGTGACACTGCAGTTCAGTTCGCTTCGGAACATTTGACACCACTCCCTTGAGCCGATGTCTCAACTGGGAAACTCGATTCCAGGTTTCCAATCCACAACCTTTCCTCAAAGGTTGCTGAAACAATTCCAAACTGCTATGATATACAAATCACCTAGTCACAAAAAGTCAGAAACATTTCCAAAAGTTCTCAAGTCAAACTGGTTCTCGTCCAAACGCAAATAACCAGCTAGCCGGTGTTACTAGTCTCTACCAAAACGTCTAGACTAGTCACACGGCTATTCAAGAACGAAATGATCCATTCAAATTCCTTTACAAAATCCTCTTGCAATACAGAACAACATGGAACCTCCTGTTCCATCTCCAAAACAGTTCTTCACACAGAGATATCTTCTCATAGCTCCAAACCACCGTGGAGAGCAGAATGTTCTGCTCGACTTCTCAGCTAATATCCAGTCATCAGTAGTCATAGCGCTAAAGTAGTTCGCTCACCACAATAACCAAACGTCAGCAATAAGTCACAAAGACAAAGGTCACAAAGTAGACATCCAGGTCAAATACCCAGAGGTTGACTACTATACGTAGGCATTGTCCTCTCAATGCCGGAGTATCAGACTTCCAGATCACATACCTAGATGTCGAATACTATGCGTAGGCATTGCCCTCACAATGCCGAAGTATCACACATACCCACAAGAGGTAATCAAAAGGCTTCACAAACATCTCAGATGTACGAAGCAACGTCAAGAATCGAAACGGATATTCCAATACCATCTCCGTCAGATTCACACTCCCACAAGGAGTCAAGAAATCTCCGAGATCGATGAAACCACATCATCCCGACTCAACTGTCTAGCGAATGCTTCTGAAAGCATTCGCCCATTGTCATAAAGCTAAATAAAGCTTCAAACTGTATTCAAAGTAGCTTGAGCTCCGTGTAGATTCACTCAGACTCACAGGTCGATATCTCAAATCATCTCTTGCAGCTCCGTGTACCGCAGAGGAATACCGAAACTACTTAAGCCTGTTGTAGACACCTTCCCATAGTCCAGTTTCACTACTGAAGGCTCAATGAAAGTCAGGTCGCACCAATGCCAAGTTGCACCCCACAAGGGTACAAACTTCCACACCCCCTTTCGACATGACATTCATTTCTCTCTATACATACTCAGATGCATATCCAGTATGAACTTCGCCATACCTTCAAGGTCAAACTCGTAGAATACGTTGTATTCGCCAGGAGACTTCGATGCTCCAAGCACCTCAACGGAAAATGAAGTCTAAACTCCTCTGAAACATTCGAAGTTTCCAAAAACATATAACTGTCTCTGAGAAATCACCTGATCCTCAAAGAAATAGACGGTTGTTCCTCCAACACTTCGCTCATCGTAAATAAACAGTCTATCCATATCCACAACCATCGCCAACGCTGATTTCAGCAATACTCCATAGACGTCTTCATGGGCACAGTTCCCATCTATCCTTAACCAGTCAACATCACCAGGTCAAAATCCATCGACTGATCAAAGAGACCATGGCGTCAATTCACGATCAACTACAGTGCTGTTTGTTGTTCCCTAAAACAAACGAAAACACCAACAACACACACGAGATCCAAGACGAAGACAGACGAAGCACTGTCGGAGTCAACACAAAAACAAAGGCCGACTGTTTCAGCTAATCCACGTCTTCCATTGGAAGATAGGCGTGTCAGACAAGCGAAACTGTCATCAGTCCAGAATACTCAGATAAAATCCACTTTCGTGGAACTAAAAATTAAGCTCATGGCCTTGCGGCACCACGCAGACCCAGCTTCAGACAAGCTAAGTGCGAGGCGCGCTAAGCTCAGGACATATTTCCAAAAAATAAAACAGACCTTGCCCCCTTTTGAGGTAAAATCCGCCAATCCACAAAAACATCACCAAAATGAATTCTGGTCAGCATAAAAGCTGATCTGTCGCATGTCGAACAAACAAGCCAAAAGAATCAAAACAACTTACGACCATTTTAGTTACAAACATATTGACTACGTCAGGGAAATCCATTCCACTGACACCAACATATTTAGAACCGTCAAGAGGACAATTCCAACAACATTGACATGAACCTCAAATCCGGGATATCCAATCCACTGACATCCATGAATAAAACAAAACCAAAAACACCTTTACATGTGTTTCCATCAGACATTTAGCCTGGATCCTCTGTGATTCTTTGCTTATTCGAGAATCGGATCTGGCCATGTCATCATCTGGAAAACGGCGGCAGACAAATACAAACCACCATCAACGACAAAATAAAAACGACACTCACAAAACATAAACTCGCAACGAATCCACAAACATGCTCATGTGTCACTTGTGTCCCATCCATGTCCTGTACATCCACTTATATATCACCCAAAAGTTGATCCTTCCAGGATCCAACCCAGTGAAATTCCTTGCCCCCTTTTAAGATCTGCTTTCCATCTCTCCTTTTCTGCTGAGCACAGATATCTGAAGCGACGGCAACGAATACATGATGGATAGAGTGAACCTCGAGCTGGCCAACGGCTGAAATACCAGTTACCAACTATTCTCTCTACCATACAGGTTGCAAGGAAATCAAAAGGAATATACCTCCTGGGTTTCACCCAAAGGAAGCAGGCGGGCCTCTCTCAGCTCTCAGTAGCCAATGTCCCGAACTTCCATTCTCAATAAATCCTCCTGAATTGAGAATTCCCATCTCGAATCATCCCCAATCCCTGGGGAGCCCAGATGCTGGTGATTCCGCTGATTTGTTCAGAACGGTATGGCGTCGGTGACAATGTCCTCTGCACCCCCGTTCCCGCATCTCTGGTAACGATGCCCACACGCTGGCACGGTGTTGGGATCGGAAGAGGAGCATTTGGTCTCGGCCCATTCGGCTGTTCCGGACAGAACGCCATAAAGAGTGACACTGGCTCTGCCGCACGTGGTGGAACCGCTGGGGCAGGTGGAACTGCTGGAGCAGGTGGAACTGCTGGAGCAGGTGGAGCTGTTGGGACATGAACAGGTGGTACTGACATCGATTCACCCGTATTGGAAATCCCGCCCGCTCCATGTGCACCTAACATTCCCGGCGTCAGCGGTGCCCCACTTTCGCCCATTGTAACTGGACGTTCCCCCAGGAGTCTCACCACCTCTTGAAGATACCCTCCAATGCTTTCAAAGCCCTCTTTGAGGTTGGTCTCCAACTTCTGAGCTTGCTTCTCAACCTCACCTTGGACTCCCTGTATGTTGGTCTCCACCGACTGAGTGCCAGCTAGAGCGCACGGTAAACCTGAATTCATGGTGGTCCTTCATGGATTGAGGACTGATTTTTGTACAGGGGTTTGGTCAATTTCCATGATTTGAGGACGAACACAGACCTTTACTGCATGTTGAAACATATGTGTCAATGGTTCGCAAAATTCCAGTATGTTGGAGACATCTGGCATTTTGGGAAACATTTTCGTCAGTTAGTTATATTGTTGAACTTACGCAACATGTTGGTTGATTTGGTTGTCTGGTGCTTGTGACATTGAGATTATAGGGCATGAGGCTCCATTGTCAGCCGGGACTGTCCAGTAGAGTGCTGCAAGCTCTTAGAACGCGCCTAGAACGCACGCTGAAAATGGCCGAGGAAGGACGAGCCCGTTCCAGGCCCCGAGGACGTGAGGCAGCTGAATCTGAGACCCCAGATATGCCAGAGGGGGCCCCAGGTGTGCCTGAGGAAGCCCTGGGCATGACAGAGGGAAACACAGGTATGACTGAGAGGGAGCCCCGGGTGTACCAGAGAGAGTTCCGGATGAGATGACTGCCGTGCCACCACCAGCATCTAGTGGTATGGAGATCTTGGAACTCGCTCAGAAGCTCTCGGAGTGTACCACGAAGATCGGCAAAGTGATTGAGGATCTGGGTCTTACCTTTGATGAATTCAACAATGGAAGATTGGAGTTGCAAAAGGGATTCCAAGAGCTCAGTACACAGATCAAAAGTACCAACCATTGTATCACCACGATGACAGCAGGAGTGGCATTTCAAGCTGGAGAAGTCACCAAGCTTCTCAAAGCCTTTGATCGGTGGGCTAACACTGGTCGTTGGGCCCTACGATATGCAGTGCAGATTCACTGTCTCTCATTGACATGCATGCAGGTATTCTGGAAGAAAACATGTCTCCGTGGTTTCGCGAGAACCCTTTGACAAGTCATCTTCACAAAGCTGCACCCACCAAACGACACACTGACAGCAAATCTCAATTGCAAATAAGAAACAAGGCGCATTAAAAACACACACAAACTTGTTTGGGTTTCACGCTTCGTTCGTTTCGTTTGTTTCGTTTAAGTTGACAATTCCACACGATTACATCTTCTCATCTTGCAATATGTTAGCATCGACTACCAAAGCATTCTTTCATCGGCCACAGGCATCCAAAAAGGGGATTCTTCACCAACTTGCAACAGCTGGCACGGCTCAAACAAAACCTAAAGTACAATAATTTACAACTTGCCCACTCTTCAGTTTCCAGCAGGACGCTCACGTACTGGCTCATTAGCAACCAAGGGGTCAATGATCTGATAGAGCAATCTTCCCTGCTCATCATTATGCACGTTCTTCTGGAACAAGAAATCCATACCAACGAAACTCACCAGGTCGAAGCTTCTCCAGTACATTTGCTTCCATCTTCCGAAAATAGCCCAAAGCAGTTATCTCTACCTGAAGGAGGCTGTAATCGAAGTAGTTGTGAGCGTTGCACCAGTGAGCATCTGTGCCACGCCCGATGGGCGCATGGGTCGCACTCAAATCTATCCTGGAGGTATAGATGTCTGGCTGGACTCTATGATGCGTCCGCAGCTCCTCCATCTGTGGTGGGGCGAGAGCTATCCACAGACGAATGCTATCCTCCATTGAGTTCAAACCGAGATTACTTCCCAGACTCAGCAAAGAAAATGGCTTCGCGACATCGATGCAAACATGCAGCTCAATTGCTTTTCCATGTGGATTAACACTCACTGCAAATTTCTGTCCATGCTGATCTCTTGACTGTGAACTCTGCCGCTTACAGTTCTTCCAAACCAACGACCTACCAATCTACAGTCACCTTCCAGTTCAACATGACAACTCCACACGTCAAAACTCACGGTTTCACTACAGCAAATCCAACAAAAAAATAAACAAACTGTTCGTCCGTCACATGAGCAACGCAGACTCATATGCTGCTGAAGCTGCTGAAGACACTCTTTCTTCTTTCTCTTCTGCATTTCAAACTGGAGTTTCAAAAACCCATACCTAATACTCCATGGTCTGCCCAACTTCTGGACCTGGACCCTGACTATTCAAGTGAACTTGACGGTCATCTCACTAATGCGGTACAACATGCGCCCTTGGCTATCCCGCTCTTCATGCTTCACAGGCCCATGCCAGCGATACTCGGTGGGCTTTGTCTTCTCCAAGATTCCGCCCTCAACCTTTTGAAGGTAGCCAAGCGCTGAGATCTCCATCTCCATCACTGCATAGTCTTTCTGATGGTACTCACCTTTCAATCCATCAGGCGTCCAATCCATAAAGTATTGAGCACGATTCACCGTTTCCGCAGGCCCCAAACGCAGACCAAAGCGACCGGAGTATCCATCTGGAAAAACCTCATTCCCCTTGTTCAACTCTTCCAGCTGCTTGGGCTCTAAAGCAATCCAGAGCTTAAGTGACTCCATGTTCGAAAACACACACAATGCAGCGGTCTCAAATGCTCTTGACACGAAACAGCTAGAAAACGGCTGCGGAAACACAAGCAGGCTATCTAACCACAACTCATACATTCAAAACAAACTATCAAGCATCGTGCGAGTGAAAACATCACAACAACCGACCTAGTGGCTTTCTCTGTGTCGCTTTCAGCTTCTCCTTTTCCAGCCAACGACCTTCTACGCCTCTAGGTCACATATGATCACCGTGTCACTCTCGCAGCAAAACAAAACTCATTTGTTCATTTCTGTCCAGGCAACCAACCGCAAAGCCCTAAGGCTACTTCCACTGGCGTCTCCTCTCAAACAAACAAGCTAAGGCTCATCAGTAACACTCAGACTAACTTCTTTGAGTAGTTCTTCTTCCAAAGTAGTCTCTGGCATGTCGTCCACATCTGTCAGCTCGCTGTCTGAATCATACGGAAGGGCACTCTGCACATCGTCCCCAGAATTCAGTACTCTTTCTCCACATTCACTTGCAAGCCTCACCGCATCTACCGGAGGCTGTTCCCTCTTGATGCCTGCCACATCTTCATCTGCATCTATCACAACAGGAGTAGGCGCCGTGGCAGCATCAATGAGAGGTGCCCGACGGTTCCTAGTGGAGAGAGGTGCCTGCCGATTCCTGGTGGATAGAGGTGCCTGCCGATTCCTGGTGGAGATAGGCTGACAACTCCAGAACTTATCCCTCAACTTCGCAGGAGCCCTCTTACTCTTTGGGCGAGCCAACTGTACAGCCTTCTTGTATTGGCCTTCCTTGGAGTGAGACGTTCCAGTTCCACTGGAGGTTGGCCCTTCTTTCAAAAAACCTTTCAGGTCTTTGCGGGTAGACATGGCAAACTGATCTATCTTTGAACCTCTTGAGCAATACCTGGCACTATCAGTGACAGGCATGTTACCCACTTTCAATCATCCACAGTGCACTCCAAAACATAAAGTCTTCATGCGTATTGGGCTCAAACAAAAACAAATCTACCTTCAGATTGAGTGACACTGAAACGACAACTCAGAAAGCGATCTTTGCCTATTCATTCCAGTCACCTGATACGCCTTTTCTTATCACTCCCCCTCTATAGACCAACTGAGTTCAAGATCCAAGACATGCCTCAACCGTTTGCAAGAACCATGTACCTAACATCCTCAGTTCCCAGCCTTTGCACTCTGATCCATTACCTCAGTGTCCAGTGTCCAACCTGGCAATCAGTCGCTCTACCAGATTATGCAAATCAGTTCTTCTCGTCCTTACCTTAGTGTGTTCCAATTGCAAGGTTGCAGCAAGTTACCTACTGTCACTTCATACTGCTGAAACGAATCTCCTACGTCCAGGAACATTCCATCCATGCATACATCTCCAGATACTCCAGCGCAGCCCTGCAATAGTGACCCTACGCTAGCAATACGTCACGCCATGACACAGACTCCTACCAGAATACTGCCGAGACCACATGGACGCTTTCCAAAACTACGCACCTACACAAGGTGAAAATGAAGCTTGCTCCAACAGAATCCACTGTCATCACAAACCAAACAAAAAACTCAACTCCTCCATCCAAGTCACAAGTATCCTTCCCAGGGTTGACTAATCTTGCATGCACTTCTACAGGTACCACTGTCGACAGTCTACATGGGCCCACCTCTGTCCAGCCTACCATGCACACACACCCTGCCGATTCTTGTTTGACTTGCAAACGGATGGTCACTTAAAACTGATAGATCCACGATCCTCATGACCTGTAGAAGTCCAACCAAGAAACAGAGTCTCAAATTCACCTGAACCAAACAGACTCCAACCAACTTCACACTCCCTAGTGACCTTATACTTTCAGATCATCACCTCCTGTGAAACAGGTGCACCTTAGTACGAGCTCATCTCTGCTTCTGCGTCCAGATCACGGAGCTCCAATATCCAAGATCCCAATCTCACCTTAGATGACGTCCTTAGCATCTTGTCACAAACAAGGGTCAGCGGAAGATGGTGTGGGTAGCCCTTTTCAGGGCTCCGCTACCATGTGAAAAACGTAAACCCAAGTACGCCTCTCGTGTACCCAAATCAACGCTTTCATTATTTCACTACGCCAGACGCAAACACCTACTGTGGTTGCGGCTCCGCAGTTACTTACTTCTCTGCAATGTCAAAATAAAGGAACTTGTTCCACCCTGACTCCTAAGTGCACGTCAGACTCCTTCTTTTCTCTCCAGACGCCACACACAACGGAACAGGTCAACAGGAACCAGGGCAGGCACACGGCCACAGCCCACAAACAAAGGAAAGAAGTTCCAGTGTGGCTACTGTTTCAAGTGCCCTAGGTGACACTGCAGTTCAGTTCGCTTCGGAACATTTGACACCACTCCCTTGAGCCGATGTCTCAACTGGGAAACTCGATTCCAGGTTTCCAATCCACAACCTTTCCTCAAAGGTTGCTGAAACAATTCCAAACTGCTATGATATACAAATCACCTAGTCACAAAAAGTCAGAAACATTTCCAAAAGTTCTCAAGTCAAACTGGTTCTCGTCCAAACGCAAATAACCAGCTAGCCGGTGTTACTAGTCTCTACCAAAACGTCTAGACTAGTCACACGGCTATTCAAGAACGAAATGATCCATTCAAATTCCTTTACAAAATCCTCTTGCAATACAGAACAACATGGAACCTCCTGTTCCATCTCCAAAACAGTTCTTCACACAGAGATATCTTCTCATAGCTCCAAACCACCGTGGAGAGCAGAATGTTCTGCTCGACTTCTCAGCTAATATCCAGTCATCAGTAGTCATAGCGCTAAAGTAGTTCGCTCACCACAATAACCAAACGTCAGCAATAAGTCACAAAGACAAAGGTCACAAAGTAGACATCCAGGTCAAATACCCAGAGGTTGACTACTATACGTAGGCATTGTCCTCTCAATGCCGGAGTATCAGACTTCCAGATCACATACCTAGATGTCGAATACTATGCGTAGGCATTGCCCTCACAATGCCGAAGTATCACACATACCCACAAGAGGTAATCAAAAGGCTTCACAAACATCTCAGATGTACGAAGCAACGTCAAGAATCGAAACGGATATTCCAATACCATCTCCGTCAGATTCACACTCCCACAAGGAGTCAAGAAATCTCCGAGATCGATGAAACCACATCATCCCGACTCAACTGTCTAGCGAATGCTTCTGAAAGCATTCGCCCATTGTCATAAAGCTAAATAAAGCTTCAAACTGTATTCAAAGTAGCTTGAGCTCCGTGTAGATTCACTCAGACTCACAGGTCG